GTAAAATGGGGACATCCTCATCCACCTCTTGCTTGACCAGGATGAAGTTGGCTCCTGACAATGAAGGCTTAGCGCTATTGCCAACCACGTTGCCCAATGCTCCCCGCATGGGAACTGAGAAATAAAGCCTACAACTGCCCTAGGGTTTTCTGACCAGTGCCGAGGTACAACCCTGGCCTCCTGTTTATCCAAAGCCTTGGTCTAGAGATGTTTCTGTTTTTGAGCCCAGCTAAAGCCCAGGAGTATCTGGGTTGCTCCTGGCTGATGGGTGGGTGGATGGGATAGGAGGGTGGGGTGGGACTTCGGGTCCCTGGATCAAGGCTGCAGTCCCTCTTCCTGTCTGGCCGGCTGTGTGTCTCCACAAGGCCGTGCCAATTCCTCCGCTCTCCCAGCCATGGTCTGTCCTCTGCTGTATGCCAGCCCCAGAGCCCGCCAGCTCTAGGGGAGAGCCCAGGGACCACTCAGGCCAGCCCCTCCTGGCTTTATGCATGGAGAACCCAGGGTCCAGAGGGGAGGAGGGCCTGCTACCTCTGTGCTATCTAGACAGGCTCCTCCTTTCTCCCCAAAATTGCCTGTGTGTGTGGGTGTATGTTTCTGAGGTTCATTGGACTTGCTTACAGGAGTACAAGCGGGCTTTTTACTGGGACATGGGGAACTTACCAGTGGCTATACTACTGAAGAAATACATATACATATATATGAGGTCTAAGTGGCCATGTCCTTGAGGCAGGGTTAACAGCAGCGGGGGATGTTTGTTGTTGCAGAGAAGCCACTCACAGGGGAGAAGGGGGCTTCCTGCTCTTCAGATGTGTAGGACTCGGCACGTGGCCACTCAGAGGGGAGAATTTGTTGCCAGCCTCCCTTCTAGCCCCAACCTCCACTTAGCAGCCCCTGCACTAAGAGTCCCCAGGGACTTCCCATCTGCCCATGGGCCTTGTCCACACTGAGAGACAAGGTCTCTGCTGTCCTGGAGAGGAGTGGAGACTGACAGCTCTCCACAGGTTTTGTTTAGCAGCTGCGTGTTAAGTGCCATGTGTGTGCAGTCCCCATCTCCTAGACTGGCTGCTGAGCAGGGCATGACTCCTGTTTAGGATACTGCGGGCTCCCCGAGGCCTGGACACTACCTGTTGGACTTGTAGGTACCTAGTGCACAGCTAAAGCAGGCCCTCAGGAAACGCCTGTGTATGGATGAATGAATGAATGGATGAATGAATGAATGAATGGCTCAGTGGGAAGATCATGATAGATCCCTACTAGTCATAATTAACTAGTTAGCAAGGACAGCTTTGTGTGACACTTGTGTGTTTTCCAACTGTGAAACTCTTATAGACGAAGAAACAGAGGCGCTCAGAGGACCCAAAGCCTGGGTTTTCTCCTCTGCTGAGCAGGAAGAGCCTCGCTGTGACCCTGACATGTGTCCCCACAGGTGGCCTGAATGTGGGCGACTTCCGGAAGGTGCTGATGAAGACGGGCCTGGTGCTGGTAGTGCTGGGTCACGTGAGCTTCATTGCTGGCGCCGTGCTCCACGGCACCATGCTGCGCTTCGTGGCTGCCACCAGTGACGCCGTGGTTCTACAGTACTGTGTGGTGGACATCCTCTCCGTCACCTCTGCCATTGTGGTATGGCTTGGCTGGGACAGTCCCAAGCACTAACCCTAGTAGCCGTCTACCAGCTGTGCAGGCATTCAAACTCTCTCTGCCTCAATTTTGTCATCTGTAAAATGGAAGTGGTGAGAGTGTGCCCAGACTGCAGAGGTTCCTAGTGGTTATCGGAGGTCATCCGCAGAAGGTGTTTCCCGTAGGGCTGGCACACGGCTCGGGTGAACTGCTGTGACAAATATTCCCAGCGTGGTGGTACAGAAAGAATAAACACCAGCCTAGCAAGGGAGGGTTCAAAAGGGATTCAGGGAAGTGGAGATCTCTGGACTGGGGATTAATGGAGGAGTGGGTGTTCCCAATGGACTGTAATTATCAACTCAGGTATGTGGCATGCTGGGGCTAGCAGGCAGAAAAGCATGCCAGGGTGGCATTCCGTGTTCAGACTGTGGCAGGTGTCAGTGCCAGAATGGAATTAGACAGGAGTTCCGCGATAGAAGGGGCCTACACGAACTACCTGATAAGCAGCAGCCATGTGACACCTGGCCGTTTGATGAACAACTAAATGAAATAACCTAGTATACTTAGGTTTATAAAACTCTTCTCTGAATGTCAGCTAAGGCAGCTGCAGACTTGGGCATAATCTGCTCAACTTCAGAGACCTGCTGCCTCCAGGTGTGGTAAGCCAGGCTCTGACCTGTAGACACTCCAACAACCGGAAGGGTATTGTACTATGTCCCAATCAGTATCTATTGCTCAGCAGCCAGATGAGGAAGACACAGAAGGTGGCCTGCCCACGGTCAGGAGGCTCTGGGCTGGACCTCTTCAACCTTGCTTTCCTTTTCCCCAGCAAATCCTCACCACTCTTAGCTGCCCATGCTTCGCCCCACTTCCTGTGAGCTCATCCTGCAGACAGGGACTGAGCCCAGCAAAGTTGAGGCACTTTGTTATGGCTGCACAGTGAATTAACACTACCACGATACACATCCATTACAGAGAGTGAACCTTAGATGGTAGATAGGCTAAATGGAGCTAGTGATCTGGGGGGAGGGCAGCCACTGGGCTCAACAGTGCATGGGAGGAGCCGGGCGGTGGTGGTGCACGCCTTTAATCCCAGCACTTGGGAGGCAGAGGCAGGCGGATCTCTGTGAGTTCGAGGCCAGCCTGGTCTACAGAGCTAGTTCCAGGACAGTCTCCAAAACAATACAGAGAAACCCTGTCTCGAAAAACCAAAAAAAAAAAAAAAAAAAAAAAAAAAAAAACCAGTGCATGGGAGGTCCTGTCTCTGGGGCCGAGGGGCATTAGGATGCAGGAGCAGTAAGTGTGTTCCTGGAGAGGTTGCTCTGTGGGTAACAGCTATGATTGGGTGCCCTTATCCAGGTGATGAGGGAAGATGGTGGCCCAGGGTAGACGAGAGAGGGCCAGGAACAGATCATTAAGAGCCTGGGATAACATCAGATACTTCTAGGGCTTTCTTTGTCTTTTGTGGTACTCAGGGATTGAACCTGGACTTCACACATGCTAGGCAAGCATTCTGTTCCCGAACTCTGTCTTCGGCCCCTCTCTTAGAGATTATGAGTTCTGTTCATAATGTGCCCTGTCTGTCTAAGATGGGGCTTCTCTAAGACGGTGACCCCAGGACTGGCCACCTTCCCCGTGCCTTCCTCATATGGCTGCTGAGCAACTCACTACACTTCACCACATGGTCCTGGCTGACCCGGGACACAAAAAATGTAAGGCAGGCTGACTTTAGACTTGCAACAGTCCACCTGCCTGGGTGCTGGGATCGTAGGCATGTCACTATGCCTGATTCCTGGTTAGGATCATTCTGGTTCTCGTTCCTTGTCAGTGGAATGCATTTCTTCCAAAGTCTTTTCCATGTCACGTGTATCCCATACCCTAAGCCCCTGACATGTGTTTACAAACAGGATGCAGAGGACCCTGTTGGAGACTCACAGCTCTAGGCAGTGTGGAGCTCTGGAAGGTTGTAGGCAGTGAGCCATGATCAGGAGGCAAAGCCCCTGCGAAGTCAGAGTTAATGAGAGTGAAGCCGAGCCCCGGGAGGGAGTGGGGATTGCGGAATAAGGAAGACGTTGGCGGGATCTTTTTCTGACCCGGGCGGGGTCTTTATCTGACCCGGGAGCGCTCCTCCACCCTTGCAGCTGACCCACACTCCCTCCACAGGTCACCACTGCAGGAATTGCAGCTGTTGTCCTGTCGCGCTACCTCCGCAGCACCCCCTTGGTATGTGGCACTTCCTTGGATGGGACTGTGGGCAGGGTCAGCAGCCCCCTTGGGGCCAACCAAGCATGGCATCCACTGACCAGTGCTCTCCGTACCTAGCGCTGGGCCGTGCTTAGCTTGAGCGTGGCCTGTGCGCTGCTTTCTCTGACCTGCGCCCTTGGACTCCTGGCCTCCATCGCAGTGACTTTTGCCACCCAGGGCCGGGCACTACTGGCAGCCTGTACTTTTGAGAGCCCTGAACTCCCGACACTGGCACCTGACTGTCCATTTGACCCCACTCGAATTTACGTGAGTGCCTCAGCCTTGACAGGGGCTGGGCAGGGCTCTTGGGATCTACCTGCACCGCATCCCTAAGTGGGCGCTTGTGCCGCTACGCCCTGCAGAGCTCTAGCCTGTGCCTCTGGGCCGTCTCTCTCGTGTTCTGCGTGGCGGAGAGCGTGTCTGCCGTGCGCTGTGCCCAGCTCGTACACCGATTGCTGGAACTGAAGCCCTGGTGGGGGAAAAGCTGCCCCCACACGGTGAGTCCCCTCCATAGTCCTGGGAAGTCCCGGTTGGGATCCCTGGCTGGCCAGCCCCACCCACCTCTGAACAGGGCCTCAGATAACTGGGGTAAAAGTTTGCTTACCACCGCCGAAGGGCTCCAAAGTCCAGAGAAGCCAGATCTGCCAGCTAAGCCACACGGCTGTGTCTGGCTCTCCCAGTCTTGAGGGGAAGCCCGAATTTTGGATGCTTAAACAGGAGACACTCAGGGGCCTTGTCTGTCTTGATTGAGTGATAGCGATGTCCTCTCCCATACCCCAGAAGCCCCTAGTCCTCCCTGCCTCCAGTTTGAGGATGTCCCGGAGATGGAGAGCCCAGCCCAGACCCAGTGAAACAGGCAGGTTTCTGTGTCTGCAGATGCAAATGAGCCCAGAGCCCCTGGATGGCCATGACCTGCTGAGCTGCGCCAGCTCTGTGCAGCTGACCATCTGACACCTCAATGGGGCCATGGCTACTGAGGCATGTGACCAAGCCTGGACATGTGACCAAGCCCACACTGACCATGGAGCCATGGAAGCCTAGATGGATCCAGGATCCCCAGAGCAGGCCCAAGAGGGCTCAATGGACCCCTGGGGACCTGGGAGATGGCTTTGAAGGCCCTCCCTGGCCACCCAGCACTCTGCACTGAAACAAGACTTTATTTTGAAGATAATAAAAAGAACAGAGAAGCTCCATGTGCTGCATGCAGAGGGAGATGAGGGCTTTGCCAGGGGCCTGCACTTCTTTCCCACACAGAATGCTGTGGAGGGACTCTGCGTGCGTGCATGTGTGCGTGCGTGCGTGCATGCGTGTGTGTGTGTGTGTGTGTGTGTGTGTGTGTCTGTGTGTGTGTGCTTGTGAGTGGATGAAGGAGGGTGAAATACAGAATACAGAGGAGTTAAATCTGTGGTCATCCAAATGCTAAGAGGCAGGCTGGGTTTGGGGACCCCCAGCTGGAATCCTGGGAGATCTGTTTTACCATGGCCTCCAGCCAGCAAACTCAGGAACAGAAAGTAGTCTTCTGCTGGGAAGTAGTTCGGGAACTTCCTCAAAGCCCCACGGCCCAAGAATCAACCCTCTGTCTCCCCCACCTCCCTCCAAGCTGAGGGCCACCCAAGGGGAACTTCCCCCACCCCCCGCTTTGTGGAAGGGTCTCGGGGCTGTGGGTGGAAGGTGGCCCAGCTGTCTGAATAAAGAATACAGAACAGGGACAGACCAACCAGAGGGTCATCTCAGTCCACTAAGGGAGATTCTGTCTCTAGGGCCGTGGATGCTAACGGCTGTCTCGCTTAGCCCTTTCCTTGCCGGTTCGCTTCTCCAGAGGCCCCCCACAGTGCAGACCCCAGAAAGGGGTCCCCAGTCTGGCCCCCAGCCTGGGAGGAGAGGGAGAGGAAGCGGAGGGCCGGTGAAGGCAGGGAGGCTGCAAGCTGGTTCCTCCCCAGCTCAGAACTGGGAGGCGCTGCTGGGGTCGCACTGCAGCAGTCGCACGATCGACGGGTCGCTTTTGGCCCCACGGATGAACTCCTCCAGTGACAGCTTGCCTGAGGGGCGAAGGGAGGACCATTGGTGAGGAGAAGGTAGCCACAAAGGCAGGCAGGTGGTGCGGGAGAGGAAGGGAGGGAGGTTGCCCACCCCTACCCTGGACACTCACCGTCATTGTTTGTGTCCATTTGGCGGAAGATTTTCTCAGTCCTCTTTTCCGGGGTCGATTCGTCCTCAGGCATCTTCATCACGGACGAAACCATCTTGTAAATGGCCTAGGGGGGATGGGAGGGTCAGGAGGGGAGAGGGCATCAGGGAGTGAGAAGAGCCACCTTAAGCCTCCATCCCCATCCCTGTCTCCATAAACATCTCAAGATCATGCTCCTCGGGCCATGGAGGAGGGAAGGAAAGTCTGGAAAAGACTTTCTAGCAGCGGGGTGACTGAAGAGTGCCCTGGGGCAGGTAGGTCCCTTGGAGGGCCAGACGGGAATTGCTGATACAGATGATGAACAAAGGCACTGAAACTTGCAAGCTCCAGGCGAACGCCAAGAATTTGAGGTGCACAGAGTCATGTGATGTTGGAGGGCATCGAAGCGCAGATAGCAAAGTCCCTAGAATGCCAGGGTGTACGTCTGGGGATAAGGGTTGAGTTAGCGCTCTCGCTCAGTGACCGATAGGGGGCGCTAAGCTGAGGGAGAGGGCACTGGGCGGTGCTGCGGCCTGTGGCCGGTAGGGGGCGCAGAACGTCAATGCAAGCTGGGACCCAGAAGGGGCGGGAATATTATGCAAACGATTGCAAATGAGCACCTGCCACCGGGCCAGGGACAGCCTGAGCTCTGTTAGGCTGAGGGCGGCAGCTGCCACGTGTAGGTGCTCCAGGAGGCAACACGAAGGAGAGTTTCTGAGCTAAATGTACAGAGCACTGTGGGATGGGCTATGTTGATGCTCCCTGGAGCTCAAAGACCAGACTAGTCACCTCAAACTTCCAGCTTTTTTCAGTGACACCTGCCCCAGGAAACTTCCTTTCTTCCCCATGCTATAACCTTCCCCACCCCCTTCACGTCCAGCTTCGTCTCTGCACTACTCTTTACTAGCCTCGTTCCTTCAGACTTGTCCCACACACTGCCTCTGCACGCTCTTCCCAAACACAAATCTCCACTACCATGGCCCCAAACCAGCAGGTTGTCCCCTGGCTTCCAGCACACGCAGACCTCGCTCTAGGCCCACACGGTGCACCGCTTACTTAAGGATGCTGGCTCCCATGATTCCTCGGGGCTGGGGTTAGAATGCTCCCCTAGCAAGAGCATCTGTGATCCCCCGGGGTCGGGGCACATCGACTGCACAGAGCCTCCTGGGCTCTTCCTTGAGGACACCTCTCAGGACATAATTAATTCCCTAGATGATTGTGCCTACTTCCCACCATTCAGATAAGAACAGTGACTCCAGCTACCTCAGAGATTCCCAAATCCCAGTACAGTGCCTTGGCACCGGCAGGGAACTCCCTGCTTAAAGGCCATTGCCGCCTCCCACCGCCCTCTGTACCAAGTCCAAACCATTTGTTTTTGGCATTCAAGATACTTCCCAAGCTGTCCAATGCTGGCCTCGCCACCACCAGGCCTCGCTGGAGGGGTAGCTCTGTCACAACTGAACACTCCTGGGCTTTTCAGACGCCCTGGCATTTAGACTCTGCCTGGAATACCGTAACTGCCTTTCTCATGCAAGCACTCTGTGCCAGGTCCTATGTGCAGGACTTTTGTTCTGCCTTTCTCTCTCTTTCCTCTTGGTTTTGTTTTTGAGGCAGGGTTTCTCTGCATAGTACTGGCTGTCCTGGAACTCACTCTGTAGACCAGGCTGACGTCAAACTCAGGGGCTCCCTATCTCTGCCTCCCGAGTGCTGGGACCAAATGGATACACCACAGCACCTGACATATACCTGTACATTAGCTCAGAAAAGTAGGTATCAAATCTCCCCTTTTCTGGATAAGAAACAAAGGGAATTGATGGAAGGCTCTAGATCAGGGCTTGCTCCCTCTTAGCTGCTAGACAGATGCTTGGGCAGTTTGGAGTGGTAGGCAGCAGGAGCTCTGGAGTGACATCCTGGCCCATTCTGCACTTGCTGTGTACCCTTGGGTAATAAGTTAGCCTCTCTGAACCTCGGTCTCCATCTGTAAACTGAACACTGTGTCTGTCTCATCAGGATTGTCTAGATCAGTGGTTCTCAACCTTCCTGATGCTGTGACCTTTAATACAGTTCCTCAGGTTGTGGTGACCCGCAACCATAAAATTATTTTTGTTGCTTCCCCTCAAAACTGTAATTTTGCTACTGTTATGAATTGTAATGTAAATGCCTGTGTTTTCTGGTGGCCGTAGGTGACTCCCATGAAAGGCTCACTCAGACACCACCCCCCAAGGGTCGCACCCCACAGGTTGAGAACCACTGCTCTAGAGGGTTAAATGGGATAGAAAAACAGAACCGTGGTTGACTGGAGTAAGTGACTGCTAAACAGCAGTTTATATTGTCATTATCCATCCACTGTGTCCTCTGGTTTTTTAGTCCCCAGAACTCCTGGATGTTATTTTATTTACCTGTCACTGACCTCATTAGTGTGGCCGGTGCCTTACTTTTTCCTATCAGACTGGGAGTCCCAAGAAGCACACTGCCTCTTTCCTCCCACTGTAGGACTGGAATGGGAGACTTAGAGAATGGCCATTCTCCTTGTGACAATCCTTCTAAGTAATTAATTAGATTAGATTAATTAGATTAAGTCTGGATTGCTCGCTCAGAGTTTCACTGGAGCCTACTTGTCATTAATCAGACCCTGGGGTTCACAGAGCTCTGTCTGCAGCAGCTGTCTGGAGCCTCTGGACTGTCATAGTGGAAGTCGGGGTCTAGAGGGCGGAAGCTGGTGAAAAGCGAGTATGAGGGGCCTTACGGAACGGGCGAGCTTAACCACTGCACTGCGCCTGGTGGCTTCAGCAGGGCTGAGATTTACCAGTGTACAAGTGGGAAAACATGAGTATCTCTCTGAATGTGTGGGTATCCAGCAGATCCCAAATGATCCCAGCACTATCTTTTTTTTTTTTTTTTTTTTTTTGCTTTTTCGAGACAGGGTTTCTCTGTGTTGCTTTGGAGGCAGTCCTGGAACTCGCTCTATAGACCAGGCTGGCCTCGAACTCACAGAGATCCGCCTGCCTCTGCCTCCCGAGTGCTGGGATTAAAGGCGTGCGCCACCACCGCCCGACCCCAGCACTATCTTGACCCTTGCCTGTGTTTTCTGATGGCTCACTCCCAGAGTTCCCCATCATCCTGCCTCCAAAGAAGAGTTCATGGTTCTCGGCCTTCTGGGACAAATGCTGAGGCAGCAAGCTACTGGCATAGAGAACATATCACTTCTCAAGACAGCCATTCCACTCAAACTAGATGCTGAGCTCCACATCCCCAGCAAGAGAGGAGCCAGTGGGTCAGCTAAGTCGGAGCAGATATCAGTCCGTGAAGCAGAGGGGCTGGAAGGAAAGGAAGCAGAGATGCAGGAAGGGGCCTCATGCAAAGCTGTGTGGCAGCATGTCTCAAGGCATGTCTTGGGGACGCTTACAAGACCATTTCAGCCAGTGCAGATGACGTATGGAGAAAAAATGACTGACAGTCATCTGAGTACCTACAAAGCCCTAGATGGAGCTACCATCCCCCTTGATCTCTGTGAGAGCTTCTGGAAGTAGGGGCTTGACACCCCCACATACATCATCACACACTGCTGGCAAGGCTCAGAGGAGTAGTGGACAAGAGCCAGCAGGTATGTGGCTTTCTGATATGGCTCAATGGATAAAGGTGCTTGCTGCCAAACCTGACATCCTTAGTTCGATTCCTGTGATCTGCATGACAGAAGGAGAGAATGGATTCTCAAAAGTTTTCCTCTGACCTCCCCATGTGTACTACAGCATGAGCATGCCACCCCACACTTAAATAAGTAAATATAATAAAAATGTTTAAATAAATATAATTTAAAAATGTCTGGGCCGGGCGTTGGTGGCGCACGCCTTTAATCCCAGCACTCGGGAGGCAGAGGCAGGCGGATCTCTGTGAGTTCGAGGCCAGCCTGGTCTACAAAGTGAGTTTCAGGACAGCCTCCAAAACAATACAGAGAAACCCTGTCTCGAAAAACCAAAAAAAAAAGAAAAAAAATGTCTGGAGGCCAGCCAGGGCTACACACACAGAGACCCTGTCTAAAAGCAAATGTTTAAAGTCGGCAAGGATCAGGGTGAATAAAACAGAATCATAGCACCGGGCACCCTCAATGCTGAGTGGCAGTAATTGTCTTTTTCAAAATAAGTCTAGTGTGTTTCATATTTAAATTTGTACTAAGAAAAGACATGCATGACAGGTCTCTAAATCGCCTCACGCAATCAGCATCACTGTCGCTGCTCCAGTTTTACAGATGAGCAACCTAAGAGCTAAAGCCAGCCCAGGACTGGAAGCCTCAACTCCGCACAGAAGCTCAGAGCCTTCACAAAAGGCATCTCGGAGTGGTGGCCAAACTCAGTCCGCTCCCACACGTCAAGAAAGTCACTCCACCTGCCTGAGACTTGTGGGGCTGCCCAAAGGGTGCCCTCAGCACAGGGGGCTGAGTGCCTCATGCGGTACTGGCTCGGGTGGTGCCTCCTTCAATTAGTCAGGAGACGTCTGGGGGCCCAGATGGCATGTGAACATTAAATCCAGGTGGCCCACTCACAGGCTGTGAGGTTCCCAGCAAGTGCGCTTCTTCCAGCAAAACAGCACTTTTTTTGCTGGGGACTGGGGATGAGGCTCAGAGGGAGAGCACTCCCTGACAAGCACAAGTTTGATCTGAGCACTGCAAACAGATGAATGAATGAATGAATGAATGAATGAATGGGCATAGCTGGTCATGGAGCATAGCTGGGCATAGAGTCACATACCTAAACCCTACGGCTCAGGGTCTAAGGCAGAAGGACCATGAGTTCAAAGTCAGTCTGAGCTACATAGAGAGACTTGTTGCCAACCGGATCAAACCAAATATAATTTGTCTAAGGCAGAAACAGCAAGATGGGAAAGACAAAGCAAGATGGGAACTATTACAAAATAGTTATTCGCTATTCCAGAATAGCGAAGATGGTCATAGTGGCACACCTTTAGTCCCAACACTCGGGATGCAAAGGCAGGCAGATCTCTGTGAGTTGGAGACCATCCTGGGCCATAAAGCGAGCTCCAGGCCAGCCAGAGCTACATAGTGAGATTCTGTTTCTAAATAAATATGACTAACAAAATAGGACAACAAAATTCAATGCAGGGTCCCACAGGACCAAGAAAAAAAAATGCTACTGAGAACACTCTGCAGAGAGTGGACAATGGCATAGGATCTGCATGTTAGAACAGCTGTTTCTGTGTTAAATGTCTTGACTTGGATAATCATGCTGTGGTTATGTAAGAGAATACCTTATTATTCTTAGGAAACACATCCTTTACCTGAGGGGTAAAGGGTCAATGCTGAGAACAACCAAAAGCATGGCACACAGGCAGAGATAAAGCAATCCTGGGAAACGCCATCTCTCAAGCCCCTCAGCTTTCCTTTAAATGGAAAATTGTCTAAAGGATTTGTGAATGGGATGGGAAGAAAAGCCCCTACCACTACTTGTAGACCAGGTGTGTCAAGAGGTTAAAAAGGGTGTTCTGGGCTGGAGAGATGGCTCAGAGGTTAAGAGCACTGACTGCTCTTCCAGAGGTCCTGAGTTCAATTCCCAGCAACCACATGGTGGCTCACAACCATCTACAATTCAATCTGGTACCCTCTTCTAGCATGTAGGCAGAACACTGTATATGTGATAAATAAATAAATCTTTAAAAAAAAAAAGGGGGTGTTCTGAGCCCATGACTGAGAAGCCAGTGGCAGTTGGCAGTGGCAGCCCACCTGCACGATCTCCAGCATTTCCTCTCTGCTGATGTAGCCATTGCCGTCCAGGTCGTACATGCTGAAGGCCCACATGAGCTTCTGCTCCAGGCGGCCACGCGAGGTCACGCTCAGAGCGATGATGAACTCCCGGAAGTCGATGGTGCCATCGCTGTTGGTGTCAAAAGTGCGGAAGACATGCTCGGCGAACTTGGAGGCGTCGCCGTAGGGGAAGAAGTTGGCGTAGATCTTCTTGAACTCATCCACGTTGAGGATGCCAGTGGGGCAGTCCTTGAGGAAGCCCTTGTACCACTCCTGCAGCTCTAGCTCCGAGAACTCCGTGTTCTCCCGCAGATCCTGTAGCATCTCCGGCCTCAGTTTGCTGTTCTGCTTGCCCATGGCAGACGAGCCAAGTCCCACCTGGGACAGAGAGCAATGGGTTTGTCCTTCTGGCCACGTGACACCACTCCAGAAGGGCCCTTAGATACAAGACACCCCAAACTCGTTTGACCCAGGGAGAGAGAGGCGCGCCCCAGATCACACAGCCAGCACCCTGCTCTGCCGCCTGCTTGTCTGGAGCGCAGACCTGGAGGAAGAGGAAAGGGCCAGTTCACACTGGCTGACGCCCTCTGGCACTGTTCGCCCCTCCCAAGGAGACAACAGAGGATTAGCTCCATCCTCCACGAGACAGGAGGCTCAGGAAAGCGAGATGATCTGCTACAGGTCTCAAGGCCACTAGAGGGTAGAGCTGACCCCCAAGGTTTCCTAGAAGGGTGCACAAGCTTCTGAGCCTTCCTCTGTACCTGCTGCCCTCTCGTGGTTTCCCAGATACCTGCTGACCCCGCAAGGCTCCTGCAGCACAGACACTGTCAGGTTCTCTTCCTGTACTCACAAGAGGCATTAACCTGAGTTCAAATCCCAGCTCTCCCTCTCTTACCAGCTATGCGCCCCGGACAATTTCCTTAAACTCTCTGTCTCAACTGCAAAGTGGGTTTAATAATAGTACTTACTTCACAGGGTTATTGAGGGAATAAATTAGTGAATCCCTGTGAGCACGCGGAACCATGACTGAGTAGACACGTTACATGAGCAAAGATGATTTACACGTACCCGGACTCCACAAGAGTCAGGCATGATATGCAAGTGCATGTCCCCAGCACACGTAATGCCATACAGTCACTAAAGGCAGCCGTTAGGGTCTATGCCTCTCACCAACCATCCTACACCACACATGGGTCACCATGCCACCACACACAACAATCCCGCTGCCCCACAACTCACACGCACTGACACATGGCACCACACGCAACTCCTGTACACTGTGCATCAAGACACACCAGCCCACGACCCCACATGGCTCACACATGCCATCACACGCCAACTCGAATGCTGACACTTCTCACATGGCCAGCTGCACGTGGGACCTTCAGGGACCCTTCTCATTTGTCTCTCTGTACTCGAGGTGCTGCCAGGTCCCGGGAGACGGAGCTGCAACCCTTCCAGACCTGCTGAGGGATCTTTTCCTTGGGAAGCCCTACCCAGTCCACCCAAACCTCCCTCAACACTCACCTTTTATCTGGTTCGAAAGGTCTCCTCAGGGCAGGGATTAAAGTGAGAGGCTAAGGACAAGCAGTGGAGGGGAGTAGCCAGGCAGTCCTAGGCACAGATGTAGGGGCATGTACAAGAGACTCCTGAGGCTGGAGATACGAGTAAGACAGGATGAAGAGGCTTCCTTGTGCATGAAGGTACATGAAGCTCTGTGCACATGTGTGTGGGTGCATGTGGAATGCGTGTGCTCATACATGATGTGGGTCCTGGCTTCTGCACCGCGTCTGTCTCCCTGTGCGTTTCTATGCATGTCTGCATGCGAATTCTATATGCGTGCTGAGAGGTTATGCACCTGTCACAAAAAGAAGAGTGTACCCGGGATCGTAAGGGGACCTGTGTCTGTCCTCAGCAGTGTGTCATGCATGTTCCTGTAAGTTGGTGCCCCCCCTCCCCTTTAGATCAGCCTCGTCTGCCCCAGGATGAGGAGCCACAGAACAAGTGTGTGGGAAGGGACTGAGGAAATGCACAGGGTTGAGCAGGGGAGCGTGTCTCTTACTCCCCTCCTCAAGGTCCAAGGAACTGGGTCAGCGGGGCGGGGGCAGAGCGATGCGCTGGGCAGGAGCGCTCCTCCAGGTGCCCCTTCCTCCCGGACACCCACGGCGCTGCCTCTGCCAGCTGGAAGGAGGGTCTCTTTTCTCCGCAAAGACCCCCGCTTCCCAAAATAGGAGGAACCTCACAGCTCGATCCGAGAAACCCGCCCTGGTATCCCCTCCAAGCCTCCCCGGCTCCGGCCCTGAGCCCCCCGCCTACATCCTTCCCGCACTCGGTGCGAGGTCCCTCCTGGAGGGGGCGCCCGGGACAGACGGCGCGCGACTCCGGGGAACCGGCCACTCGGCGGTCAGGACCCTGGAGAGCGCCACGCGATTTTCCTCCCCGGGGCAGACCCGGGCTGGCGCCACCACGGGTGGGAGGAATCCCACGAGGGACCGGGAGGAGCGGGCTGGGGAGTCCTGGACGTGGGTTCCTGGCTCCGGGGCTGCCCTCCCCGCATCCCCGGCCCCGGCCGGAGCTGCCCCCACTCACCAGCGACGCTGAGACACCGACTGCGCAGGGAAGGCGGCGCTGCTGCGGCGCGCGGCGGCAGAGGCGGCCGGAGGGGCGGGCGGGACTGCGAGGGAGACGCCCCGCAGCGTTGGCCCGGAGCCCCTCCCCTGGGGGGGGTCTCCACCGGCAGCTAAGCTCCGCCCCCGCCCGGGAGAGGGAACGAGACGACCTCACTGCCCCGGGCCCCCTCTCTCTCGAGAGCACCCCGCCGTGGGAAGAAGATCGGGACCCCCAGTTCTGCAAATCGACTCGGGGAGACCAAGGAAAGAGGCGGATGTCCAGGGACCGCTCTCCTAAGCCGGGAACAATCAGAGGCAGCGCCACCGGCTTCCTCCCAACCCCTACCTGGGCGCGGGGCCGCCTGTCGCTCCGAGGGCGAGATCCGATAGGCACCCTCGCTGCCCCCGCGCCTCAACTCCGGAGCCAGATGAGCTGGGGGCAGGAGAGCCCGTTCCACAGTCTCGAGGTCTTCCAGGGGCCAGACACGCCCCCTGCCTACCTCCGCCTCAGAGAGCACGCCCCCCTCTCCAGCCTACTACTCCGGATGTCATCCCTCACCCCCTCTAAGAATTAATCCCACCTCCTACCATCGATGTACCTGGTTCTTCCCAGTACCCCTCCTTGCAAGGCATCCTCTCCTCCCCCAGCCTTTGCGGGTGCAGGCCTGAGACCTGAGAATGCAGAAACAGTCTTCACCTGTGTGTGTGTGTGGGGGGGGTGTTTTTGAGGTGGGTAGGCCTCTGGTCTGCATTCAGAACAATTGCTCTCTAGAGACCCCGACCCGGTCACTGCTCCTCCTGCCTGTATAGGGGGCCTCACCCTCCCTCCTCCAGCCCTGGGAACAATCCCTACAGCTTAACTTCTGTCCTTTCTCCATCTTTAGGATGTGGACATTCCTGTGTTCTACACTGTAGATAAGGAAACTGCGAGTTAGAAGGGTTAAATGCCTGTTCCAGTGTCTAACAGCTCGTCAGTGATTTCAGTTCAGGAGCTCTCATTCATCCGTTTCAAAAATATTTGTCAAGCATTGCTTCTGCATGCCACGCTGTTCCAGACAGTCGGGTTGCAATCACGCAGAAGAAACAACGGTAGAACGTACACACTGTGCTAGACAAGCCATTTGAAGGAAGCTTGGGACAGTGGCAGATGGAGAGCAATGGGCACTTCAGACTGCATTCCAGGTTAGACCAGGAGTCTCTGTGGTATTGAACAGAGCCGGTTTGGTGTCCATGCAACAACTCGCTGGAGCCGGAGCGTTATGTCAAGAAAAGAGTGGCCGAGTGAAGCTGGTTTCTGAACCTCCGTAGAAGGTGGAGCTGACAGCATTTCTCACTTCCTGGACAGCTCTTCCCAGGGTGTTCTCTCTGCCTGTAGTTCATTCTGGTTACCCATGACGCCAAACCAAGCTCCCCTCCGGGTGCCTAGACCAGGCCTCTCAGGCTGTCGGTCTAGCCTTCACCTCTTGTACTTGGAGGAGAAGAGGGGGTGTACACTGACAGAGCTGGAGAGCCAGACCCTGATGGATAGGGACAGCTGGGCCCTTGGGAACACCGGCTCCACTGTGTGCCTTGGCTCCTGTGTTGGGACCCCCCAGTGGAGGCGTTGACAGACGCCAGACGAGCGTGGGTGGTTCCCAGCTGCCTCCTTCAGGAAGACCTGCGGGCTGGCAGAGAGTGGAGAACTGCTTAGCCCCCACCCCGGACCCCTCCAATGACAGCCTCCCTCCTCTCTCCCGGGTGGGCCCAGGACAGCCATGCTTGGGGCATGGGAAGGAGCCAAGCCCAGAGGCATCCCCTGTGTCCCCACCGCTCCTTTCCCCTCTCTCTGCCTGAAGCTGGGATCGCCCAGCACGGCTTGGTCTCTCTTCTCTATTCTTGGGTGGAAGGTCTCAGCGTGCCCCTATTTCCCTAGACTGACACTTATCATGGGCACAGGTTCAGTGGGCTCCCATGCTTTTCTTTTTGGGGAGAATGATTCTGGAACCTTCCCTCAGCACCCTTGTCTGTACCCTGCCTCCACAGCAGTGTGCTTCCAAGGGTGGGACTGAGTCTTCTCGTCCAGGGCACCTGCTTTCTCTGCCCATTTCTGTATGTCACTGTGAGAGTGTGTCTCACAATGGAGCCTGAGCCCTCCTGGATGCTGTTGGCTGCGCATATCAGCCAATCTACCTTCCAACAGCCATCGAGGCACTGGACAGGCTCCTGAGCCAAAGAGGAGGCCTAGGGGTTCCCCACACTCTATAAGACCCTGGGTCCAAGACAAGTGCCCTGCAGAATAGTTCAGAACAGGCAGCCGATAGCTGGGTGGTGACAGCGCACGCCTTTAATCCTGGCACTCAAGAGGTACAGGCAGGAGGATCTCTGTGAGTTCGAGGCCTGCCTGGTCTACAAAGTGAGTTCCAGGACAGCCAGGATTGTTACACAGAGAAACCCTGTCTCAGAAAGAGAAAGAAAGAAAGGAAAGGCAGCAGAGGGATTGCTGCTTGGGAAGCCTGGATCCCTCCGGCAGCTCCTGAGGTAAAACTTCCCCTTGCTGGCCCAGTTTGGGCAGGTGACATGCCAATGTCAGCTGAGGCACCAGTGTCCCCAGGGCCTTGGGTTTGCCGTATTTGAAGGCTTGCTGTGCGCACGCTCAGACTCTAGCCACTGAGGCCCCACCCTCTCACTCAGAAAGAGGTGTCCAAGAGGGAAAGGGCCACAGCCTGGCGTGAAAGTGGGGCCAGGAGAGACAGGACACAGCAGCAGGCGGTCCATGGAAGAAGGAGCACGTCTCCAGAGCAGAGAAGTGAGATGGGGGCCTCAGAAACCGAGATGGCTATCCTGTTCTTCCACACTGCCAGGACATCACTTACCTCCTTCATACCTACTGTGTGCAGAGCGCCCTACCTCGACCACCGCATCTCACGACCTTCGGTCCTGACGATCTCTAATATTGCTGCCATTTTACAGAGGTGGAGACTGAGGCTCAGGGAGTTGGGGTCTCCTCCTTGAGGTACATCCCAATAGTATACATTTGAACCCAGCTCTGTGTGAGTTGGGAGCTGCAACCCCACTCTGGAGGTCTATCAGTGAAGTGGGCAGGTCTGGTCCTTCTCAAGCCCATCCCATGTCCCTTGGGTCCCCAACGGCTTGGAAAATCCTGATGAAAGCAGATGGTGGGGACAGATGGGGGGAAAGCATCTCGGGGGCTGAGTGACACAAACAAACATTGATAAAGTGATTAAAACCTCAACCCACCCCTTTCCAGAAAGCCCGGCCCACCCCGCTTGGAGCACAGTGGGCTGTGAAATGGAATCCGGGGGTCTCCCGAATGCCCTGGGTCTCAACCTCATTAATCCTAGTCTCTGTCAGCTTCTCTTGACGCCAGGGACCACCCCCGGACCAGAGCCCAGGGTGGCAGAGCCGCCAGGAGCACAGCCTGGGAGGGGGCGGGGCAGGCCTGGCAGTTCCCCAGGGAGCTGGCCACGAGTAGGGAATGACTGGGGAGGAGTGGAAAAGTCCAAGGCTCCGGGGCCACGGGCCTGAAATCATGGCCAGCAGGGTGGGGTGGGCATGCCAGAGCCGGGGTCTCTCTGGGGAAGCCTCACTTGCCATGCGGGACTCAGTCTACCCAGGTCACACAGCGGCACAGCTGCCCGCAGAGCACACTGGATCCTGGGCCTCTATCAGCTTGGTTTGGTTCTGTCCTCTGTGGAGGGAGACCGTGTCAGTGTCAGCCCTGGAAGGGTGGTCGTGAAGGCGAGGAGCAGCCGCACGTGGTGCCTGGGTACCCTGCGCTCGGTACAAGCACCTAGGTACCCTAACCGCACAGAGTACCAAGAGAGCAGCCCTCACAGAGCTTTGGACCTGAACGTTCTACTGCCACACCCTGTAGTTGTTGGGTTCAACAGCAGAGATGGCTGCGTTAACCCCCAAGAAGAACAGAGTTCCTGGGCCAAGGCAGCTGAAGCCAGTGGGGGGTGGGGGTGGTAGATGATAGCGTTACCTCTTTAGACCTGCATTCAAATCCTGCATTGGCCCTCTTCCTAGCCGCAGAAAGCTGGCAAAAATAGCCCTCTGACCTTCTGGTTCCTTCTCTGTGAAACCAACATTTCCAGCTGCTTCCTGGACTCGCTCCCAGAAGCCCACAGACACCCCCGACTCAAGCCAGCCGGCAACCAGCTCTCCTCCTTCCGGCTTGGCAGGTCTCTGGGTCCTCCTCCACCCCAGCAAGCCAGCCCAAGACCCCACCACGTCCAGGACCCTCCTGCTGGCTGATCCTGTGTCTGCTGCCTCCCCAGGTCTAGCTCATTCTACAAAAGTGGGCAGGGTCCCTGCTTGTCCCCTCACGACTGGCCAGATCGGCCTCAGATCCCTGCTCTGACCTTCTCACAGATCCCCCTACTGGGATCAGTTTCTCTAAATCTGATTAGAGCCTTCGTTGCTAAATAACCTTCCATGGCTCCTGCTGTCTTCCAGGGCACAGGGACATCTGAGGCTCACACACCCACACCTTCCCACCCACCTTTGTAACGCCAGCTCGGCACCTCTGTACCATGTGACCCCCCCCCCCCCAGTGAAGGAGTTCCTGGCCCTCCGCCAACCCTAATCTCTGTACATGGGATTGGGTCTGGATGGGGGTGGTTGAAGTGACTGGCAGCTGGGGACTCATCCCAGCCAACTCTCATCCAATACAATAATTGCTCTTCCCTCTGCCACCGGGGGAAGCTACTCTTAGCTGGAAGCCAGAATGTGACAGTACTTTGCCTGAGGTCACTCAGCTGGGCCAGCTGTCCCCCAGTCATAGCTTCAGATAGTTAACACACTGGGATCAAGGCTGAAGAGATGGCTTAGAGGTTAAGAGCACTGACTGCTCTTCCAGAGGTCCTGAGTTCAATTCCCAGCAACCACATGGTGGCTCCCAGCCATCTGTAATGAGATTTGGTGCCCTCTTCTGGCCTGCAGGCATACATGGAGGCAGAATGTTGTGTACATATTAAATAAACCTAAATAAAAGAAAGAAACAAGCAAAGTAAAGCCAGGGATGAACTTCCCTCACCCCCCCAAAAAAACACTGAGATCGTGCATGGCTTGGGCACCCCATCTTCCCATCCTTTGGGTGTCTGTCTGCTCT